ATTAACTTTCTTTGTTATGCGAACAGCACACAAAATCATTATACTGGAAGGTTTAAAAGTCTTTTTTTTTTTTTTACCTAAGCAAACATGCATTTTAGATATATTCTTACTTTAAAAGAGGTTTGGTTTCGGTATGAAACCAAACCTCATCGAGGACTTTTCATATGGGGTTGCATTCACAAAACTCTGAGCAATGGACTGTTACTGCAGTGATGACAGGTGTGATGATGAATGTTGGTGGTGTTACCTCTAGAAGTTGCTACAACCGCTGCACAGTACCCGAGTCTCTAAATCGTCTTCTCGCTAGAATGCAAAGTATTGCCAGATCGTGGAGGTGCCACAAGTATTTCCTCTGTCCCCCTCTCTTCTCTTTACTAATCTGACTAGTCCCTACCTTAGTGGAGCTGGGCGTTATCAGATTGACTAAATGGTCGTAATGTGATTGGCTAAATTGTGTGCATGCTGAATGTGAAAGCATGGCACAAACACGTTAAACAAAACGTATCACATTTCAGACCACATTGTGATGACGACGAAAATACGATTAATTGTGCAAAAGTCTAATCTGTAGCTTTAGGTTAGGTCTCAGGATGTCACAATTAAAGATTTCCTTGGCAAGATCATTGTCAGAGAATTTCTCACAATATTGCGATTATTGCGTAATTTGGCACCCAACTTGCACCAGTGCAAGTAGCTTTTTCTACTGATACCACCGGTAGATTTATCTAATAGAAGAAAGAGCTGAAAATGAACAATTGGAAAAAAAAAAAATTGTTTCCAGTGTGGTATCTTTTTCTTCCTTGTTAAGTATTAAACATCCTTTGTAACCCAGAATCAGTCGATGCAACGCGGGGGTTACGCGTCTTTTCACTTCCTTCCGTATTACGTAACTTTCCCTGGGAACAGGTTGCTCTTCTCCTCGATAATACGCTGATGATCTGGTAACTTGCATAGAGGTCGGCAAAAGTATTTTAGAGGTGAACAACAACATTCAAATGTCACAACAACGTATAAAAGGCGATCGATCCTGGGATTTCTGTCAAGCAAGCACGACGTTCCCGCTCCCAAGGATCAAGCACCGGAGACGCAAGCTCAAGTAGGAGAGAATTGTGAGCCCAGCGGCAAATCTCCATCCACGCCAGGAGAAGAGTGTAATGAACCCCGCGGCGAATCTCCAATTACAGCGTACATGTGATCCGGTGGGGCATGCCACGTTGGGAATCGTAGTAAAGCAATAGCGATACACTGTCATGTTTGGCCCACGGTTGCAGCTGTTTAAATACCTATAACACATTTTTTTGTTGTCATTAACATTTTTGTAGACATTCATGTAGAATGTCTTCGTTTTTTGTGAATTTATTTGGCCCCACAAAATCATAGCAAGTTTACCACAACAAAAGGTATAACATATTTTTGTTAATTTTTTTTTTGCCCGATTATAACGAAGAACCTCAGTTAATTCAGTAATTTTGCTGGTGCAAGCAAGTCATTTTTTTTTTATGTGCACCAAAGCCGCAAAGCCTTTTTATTGTTAATATTATTTTTATTCCTTTTTTTTTTGGTCAAATGAACCCACTGTCGACCCAAACATGATCTCAGCAATAATGGGAAACAGACCAGTCTGTTTACATGGTCTGGCTTTAGAGATGCAGACTCATAGAAGTCAAACTACTGTTTCTGGAGGATGGGGCACAGTGCTGTAGTGACGCTACATGCTAGGTTATTCATATATAACAGAACGAGAGCAACATGCAAGAAGGCACGAAAGGCACAAAAATCATTATTTCGACGATCTTGTTTCCATAATTGTGGGATGCTTAAATTGTAAAATCAAAATCACATTTTGATCAATCATCAAGCACTAATAGCTAGCTGTCATATTCCTCAATGCATGTGAATACATAACTGTACATACATTAGTGTATAGTGGCTTTGCAACTACGGTTGCAAACCAGAGTTATAAAGATCATTACTTGGATGCTGGGAAATAAAGCAGCACGCAGGCAGAAAAGATCCAGGCCTGCTTGGAGACGGAGAAGAGGACAGCGCAGGACAAGGAGAACAGAGCGCAGCAAAAAGGACTTGTCTCTCTGTGTCTCGCCCTTGTTTTCTGATATGTTCTGTGAGATCCTGCAAAAGAGTGTCTCAAATAATAATAATATGTAGGCTATTCTGTTTTGACTTTCTTCTTGATTTTATTTCTCTGGTAGCCATTTGACAATTCATTATTTTGACAATTATTTATTTATTATTAATTGATTGCAATTGCAGCGGCTAGATTTTATTGAGGTTTAGTACACAGTCATAGCCATAAATGCAATGGTACTAATGTTTGGCATAATAATTTCTTTTTGTGTTTCGGTTTTTGGCCTTGGTTTCCTATAATTTTTGGTTTCGGGACTTTTAATTTCAGTGCATCCCTAGTTGTCACATTACCAAATCTTTGTGATTTATTTAAATGTCTATTTGTGTTCTGGGTGCCTCCTATTTGTGTCCAACCTAAACAATTCCATGGGTATCATTTGAGACATATCGCTCCACATTAGGGTGACCACCTCCGAACCGACAAAATGCAGGACAAGCAGCAGGTTTGAGTGGGACAATGAGGGACAGCCGCAATCATTAGAAGCCAACGCTTTTTTTTTAAAAATTAAGTCACATGCACATGTCGGGCCTTTTACCCCCAACAAAACAAACCACAAAACGCTATAGCAGCCAAGACATAACCTAAACCTAAAAAAACACACATATTTTACAATATAACGTAATTACTGATGTATTATCTTACTGTAATTCTTCCACATTTAACATAGAATAAGCAGATAAGGCACACCAAAATATGACCTGAATAAATTAAACAATTGCAATTAAACAGGTCTGTGTAAAACCAACAACTCCTGTAGATTATATGGCCATCTGTGATGTAAACCTGAAAATAAAAAAAATAGAAATACCTCACCGTCACCAAACAGATTTTGCATTACAATCCAACAGCCTTTCTCGGAACTATGAATAGCATGTTTCTGTAACACACTGCTAGCAGAAAAGCAGAACAGAAATATATATTCTTCATCGTTGTAGAACGCTACACAGCTATGTACAAAGTGGCCCTTAACCTGAATCTCTCGAGATTTGAGATTTTCTGTAGTCGGCTGACTGATATGAATGTGCATATTGCACTGCATGGTAAACACTGGCAACTTCTGCCGCAATTATTGTTATCCAACTCATTTGGTCTGCAGGGAAAAATATTGCCAGAGAGAAAAGCTGTTCATACACAAATTGCAGAAGACTGGTTCAGTTCTATCCACCGGACTCAGCCAAAAGGTGGCATCTTCCTTTTTTCGGCACACTACAAACCTGGGCACCTTTGCAGTATCAAAACAACTGTGTGCTCTACGATTTCAGAAGCTAATGTGTGTGTGATTGCTGCAATTCAGTAGTTTGATCGACACCCCACTCAGCCTGTCAGCTACCGCCTTACCCACAAAGTCGCCTATCACTGCTATGGACCACACTAATAGGTGTGGTCCATAGACAGCCAGGCACATAAAATAGTTTATTTTGAATTAAGTTATGTCGAATGGAAAAAGTGGGACAAAATGTTCAATTGGTTCAATGCTGTGCAATACAACGTAAAGTGGGACAGCTGGTCACTCTACTCCACCTTGACACCGTTCGCTATATCTGACTCGTCATTGTAAAGCTTCAAATGGCATGACAGCACACAATTTAATATCAGATAGCATGATTGGAGTTTTTGATGCAACACAATGAAGCTAATGAAGCAAACAAGCATCTGAGGCAATGCATATGAAGTTGGAAGAATTGCAACTTTTGAGGCAGCACTGTGCCGTGTTTCCCTTGCTGAAGTTAAGCAGAGAAGTATGCAAAAAGCTTAACATTGCCTTGTGTGGTCACCAACACTGCTGCTATGTTCATCCTGACCAGAATAAAAAAAAGAAGAGACATGAGCTAAAGTGACCCTGGATGTTGGAGAATCTGATAATGTGATTGTGAGACTGAGATCTGTGTCTTGTTTTACTACTGTCATGCTGCAACCAGTTGTCATTCCAGATGAAGCTCCCGGAGGAGATGGTGAAATTCACTCAATTCACTTAACAGGATGCTATAAAACCCAGACACGGTGGTGGCAGGTGATTCGCTGGTGCTGCTGGTACAGTAGGTGCAGTGTAGCAACATTGGTCATCTCATCCATGACCAACTTGCCTTGATATGCCTTTTTTTTTTCAGGAGCATGATAACCACAAATGAGTGATACAAGGTGATACAAGCATTTCCCCCCCGTCAATCACATTTGGTGCGAATGCCAATTTCTAAAAACTTAGATCTCTATAAGAAAATGGTTACACAGTGTGCTAAGGATGCACTAGTCCAAATACCGATACCAGGCTGTTGCATATTCTTGGAAATATGACACGATTGTTGAATTAATAAACTCTATACCTCACCATCGCCATCACGCAAGCACTAAAGGAAACATTACTTCCCTTAAAAAATGTAACAAACCGACACAAAGAATGAATAAAATAAACAACGTGTGCACCAGTAGCAACTTGGAACGGCCTTTTACAAAACTGCAATTAAACAATTTTACAGTTGTTTTGTCAACATATTGTCCCCACAGGAAATGAAATCAATGCAAAACACAGCAGCTGGAATGGAGAATAAAAGAAGCTTAGCTTAATTAACTTGACTGAACACTTAAAATAAGTACATTTTTTTTGTAAACATTTAATGCAAACAGAAACTTAAAATCCATGGTAACAGCTGAGACTGAGAATAAACTAATTTGTCCGTTGTATATATATATATGACAATGTTTCTCTCTCATTTTTATTTGTACACAAAAGGTGTAAAGGTTAGGGTTAGGGGTTAGGGTTAGGTGTAAAGGAGCAATCTCAACACCCCCGTGCAAAGGTTTGTATGTGGAGGCCTAACATATGGTCGGAGACAATAAGTGTCACAGCAGCCCAGACCGAAAAATCAATTCATATTGTTTAAGAAGCAAAGTTTCAAAAGACACTCTTGGCATGGACAAGCCACGGTCTAGATGTACAGTTGGACTAAAATAACCATTACAATAAAGCTAATTTTACTTTAGCATATTTTTTTTGACATTAATAATTCTATTTCCAGTCCAACTTGGATCACTCTCAAATACAAACATCTCTCTACTGCTTTGTGTTTCTGTTATGACATATTTATGAACAACTCTATTTTTTAAGAATTTACCAATGGACAGACTTGCATGCCCTCACAACTACCGGAGAATTTACCAATGGACAGACTTGCATGGCCTCACAACTAAGTAAAGTCAGGCCTCTGTCACATACCTCACTTACACTAATGCACTAACTGTACCACTTACTACTAATGAACAACTGTAGACATGTTTCTGATGCTTCTGCAGCCACAATTCTATGTGACCTACATACCTGCTATAGCATGCACAAGCACCTTCTACCTGACCCACATGTGTTCAACGGAGAAAAATAAATGGTACTGTAAATATGCCCGAGTTAAGATGATCTCATTTTACTAGGACCAGAAATTATACCTTAGGCTTGCTGTCTGGACACACCTTAGAAAATAATTATAATTTGTATATGACATACAGAATTATGACTGGCTACTGGATAGGCCATTGACTTAAGAGAAGGCTGTTTCATTTAAAGGCTTAGAATAACACGAACACTGTTTTAACAGGATTGTCAGAAAATGACAGGGGGGAAAAAAAAAATGAAATAGAGAAATCACACTAAGGTCTGAACACAACTTGCACTCCGTTCACAATGTAGAACACTGAGCATCATGTTACAGCCGGGCTCTCTATATCAATTACCTGTAC